TGCATACAGTTGAATAAAGTTGAATATATAAATTAGAGAGAAATAAATTACCTGTTTCTGCTGCTTTGGCCTCTGTAACTTCTGGCGCTTCTTTTTCTTCTTCTGGTTCCTCTTCTCTTAGTCTATGTTCGTTATATAAATCTCCATACACACCCTACAACAAAATACAAAAAAATATTAAAAAATAAACACTCAATAACTTTGATTATATAAACAGAAGAAAACAATCAAACAGCAGATGCAGGTGGAGTTTAGAAGGGCCGCGGAGGCCGCAGGGGCGCTACCCAAGTGCAATAGCAGCAGCAGCAACAGCAGCAACAGCAGCAGCAGCAGCAGCAGCAGCAGCAGCAAAACGGCAGCATCAACAGGAGCAGCAGCAGCAGCAACAATGCAGTAGCAGCAAGAGCAAAGCATCAGCGAAAAAAAAAAAACAGCAGCAGCAGCAACGACGCAGCAGCAGTAACAACACTACCGACAGCAACAGCAGCAACCCAGCAGCAGCAGCAGCAGCAGCAGCAGCAGCAGCAGCAGCATCTATGACCTGGTGCAGTCTCTTAAGAAGCTCATCCTCAATGACATCTTCGATGTGAGCAGCAACCAACGCTTTCTTTTCTCGTGCTGCTTCTCTTCTTTCTGTTTTCTTTTTAACTCCTTCTAGTTTCTCTCTAAAAACAAAACGCAGCAAAAACAACAAACAAATTCAATAAATATAAACAAAAAAAAACACAAAAGAGAAGGATGTTTCGGTGTTTCTGCTGCAGTTATGCTGTAGCCGTTGCTCCTGCTCCTGCTGCTGCTTCTCTCGCCACTCCTGTGCTGTTGCTGTTCCTCTTGCTGCTGCTGCTACTGCTGCTGCTACTGCTGCTGCTGCTACTGCTGCTGCTACTGCTGCTACTGCTGCTGCTGCTACTGCTGCTGCTGCTGCTGCTGCTGCTGCTGCTGCTGCATTTGTTGCTGACTTGGGTTTGAGTTCAAGTTTCCTCATTCTATCGATCATATGTTTGAGTTTGATGGTTCTTCTTTTGCATCTTTCAATTTGGTGTTTTGGGTAAACATTTTTCATGTGTTTATCGATTGTTTTTTTAGCGTCAGGTATATTTCTAGAAAGTTTAATTCTCTCCCATAAACGATTGGGTAGATGAGCTCGTTCAACTGTCTTCAAACAAAGATATAGCTTTCCTTTATCCTCAACAACAGTACCGTAATTACTATTAGCTAGGGGGCAGCTCACTCTATTACATTTCCCCGTTACGTTATATTCATTGCTGCAGAAATCCTCACGATCTGTTGTTCTCTTAAAAGAACAAAAATGCTTGTTTATTACCTCCCATATCACGTCGTCGTTCTGCATCGTCGATGGCCGCGGCGATGCGCGCGGTGTACGTACACCCGGGGAAACCCGAGAAATATGAGAGGCGAAACGCCTTTTTTTCTCACCTCTTTAACCCTTAATATCTATATATATATTTTAAATATACAAAAAAAAAAGAAGAAACGCCTGGGGCCCCCAAAGGCCGAGGAGGCCCCACCACCCCACGGTCAGGGGAGGGTCTTCTGCTTTGTAAGTACCGCAGGATTTGTTGTTTTTTCTTTCGTTTTCTTCATCTGAAAACAAATATATTCAAAACAAAAAGAAGTGTGCGGCTGCTTCTCTCTCTCCTCAATATCAACGATGCAGAATCTCTCGATGCGGTCAGCAGCCGCATGAAAAAGACTATAGGGCTGGTGATCCGACGAGTAAAGTCACAATCCAAAATAAGTTATTTAAATAAATAAAAGAATGTTTGTTTTTAATGCATTTCATGTAAAAATAAAATGAAAATACGAACAGATCATTCTCCAGTGTATCTGCAGCTTACTGGTAACACCGCGACCCCGGCAGCCCCGTTGCTGGTTGTGGTTTCTTCAGGTGTATGCGGTTTGAATTTGGTGTTTCGTTGAAATATACTTCATTTAATTTCATTTATTTACAATATTTAAACTCTAAAACTGTTGAAATCGCATTTGAAAACGCCAGACATGCAGAAAGCTGTCGTTGAGGCGGCCGTCGGGCGAATCCCTGTAAAGCAAGGAGGCAAGGAGAAACCTAAAAAAAAAAAGAAAGATATAAGTATTTTGAGTGTTTTGATGAGTAATTAAGTGAATATACACTGGAATTAAGGAGTTATTCGTGATTTTTTTCTCTTTTTTTTATGCGCTCAGGCCGCCTCTTGTATGAGTGGGAACAAGACCTTTCTGACGTTCATATGTATCTCTCTCCCCCGCCAAATACAAAAGCCAAAGAACTTCAAATTCAAATACACCCCAATCGTCTGCGAGTTGGTTTAATAGGAAACCCTCCACTCTTCGACGTAAGCAGACTGACATATGTCTCAGCTGTCTATACACCTCACCAGCGTATTACTATTCACTCATGAATTGCAAATTCTGTACTGCATTTGTTTCGGGTTTCGCCGTCAAACCCTAAACCCTAAACCCTAAACCCTAAACCCTAAAGTATTTAAAGCTTCATCTTTACTTGTGTGGCCTACCCTTTTGTACTCGTACGAAAGACGACGTTTATCTCCATTTGCTGCGTCAGGATATACAAATAATAATAAAACATAATAATAATTTTACTGTTCTCTTTTTTCTCTGTTTATTTCTCGGGGGGAAAGGGGGGAAATGTAACGATACTTGAATGCAGGTGTTTTTAGTCAAACCATTTGCTGCTTTATATGTGATGCTGCTGCTGCTGCTGCTGCTGCTGCTGTTGTTACAGCTGTTGCTGCTGCTGTTGCTGCTGCTGTTGCTGCATAAAGAAGCGCAAGAGCGCCGAGATAAGTCTGGCTGTTCGTGTCTTTGTATTATTTTTTAATCTGAAAATATAATATTAGATAGATATATATACATCTGCCTTGAATGCTTTCTCTTGGTTTATCTGGGTTTACTCGAATCCTGTGAAGCGTTTTATTCTGCATATAATATTATTAAATATTTTAAATTACTTATTTTATTTTATTTTATTTTAATTTATTTTATTTTATTTTATTTTATTTTATTTTGTTTTTTACTTGACTAAGAAGAGAAATTCTTAATCTTTTTTTTGTATTTTTTTCTGTTTGCTTTGCCCCAGGAGGAACTCTCATCTACCGTTGAAACTTCTGCGTCTTTTTGGATGCTGGGTGCGAAATAAAGAAATATATTTATATTTATATTTATATTTATATTTATATTTATATTTATATTTATATTTATATTTATATTTATATTTGTATTTATATTTATATTTATATTTATATTTATATTTATATTTATATTTATATTTATATTTATATTTATATTATATTTATATTATGATAGATATTTTTGCGTGTATGCATTCACTGTTAGCTCAGTAAAGAGCAATCTATAGCTGTATTTTTCTCGTTTTATTTTCAACGTTTTTTTGAATTTAAAAAGAAACTAAAAACTTTTTTTGTTTTTATTTGGGAATTAGTTTATTTTCGTTTTATATTTATTTGTATTTTTTTGTTTTAATTTGCTTTTTTGGGGTTAATGCATTTACATATACTGCAGCGCAACGACAGAGGAAGCGTCCTGTTCACGTTGTGTTTCCTCATTTAAAAAAACCCAAATTTATTTATAATTGATGAAATTAATATAAAATAAAATAAATATATTTATTTTTGAGAAAAATATTCATAAATAATGTATTTATTTCGCTGTTTCTCTGTTTTTTTTTTTTAATACAGAAGATGGAGAGCTGCATATACAGCTGGGAAAAATGCGAAAAGGAGAAGTTTGGAAATCCTTACTCAAAGGACACGAACCCCTCAACCCTCTAGCTAAAGTAATTAATTTATTTTTAATTTAATTATAATTATAATTATTATAATTAATTTAATTATAAGTAAATATATTAATTATTAAATCAACAAACTAGGGAATCAACGCATTATGAATTGCCTTAATAATGAATTAGTTTAATGTATATACACATAATATATATATATATATATATATATATATATATATATATATATATA